AGAATCAACACGGATACTTCAAACATAAGGCACGATAATAATTAACACAGATACTTCAAACATAAGGCATGATAAGAATCAACAAGGATACTTCACACATAAGTCATGATAAGAATCAACACGGACACTTCAAACATAAGGCACGATAAGAATCAACAAAGATACTTCAAACATAAGGCATGATAAGAATCAACACGGATACTTCAAACATAAGGAATGATAAGAATCATTGAATATTTCTGAACATAAATCATTGTTTTCTTTTCTTTTTATATATATATTACATTATTATTTGTCACAAAATATAACATTGTCCCATAAAGAGAAATTTGTATCCGAACTTTTATGTAATTTTTGTGTAGCCATGTTAATTTTTTATTTATTTATCTTTTTCATTCCAACAAACATATTTTTTGAATAGCTATAAATACAATCACAGACCAACTAAGTTGAGATAAATTTTGCAATAAAATATGTCGCATATTTCTCTCAGTGTAGTTTATTCCTAAAAGTTTCCTTTGACTCCAGCCCATGCAAACAGAATTAAAGACAGAAGTATAATGTTCTACCTTAAGCTCCACCAACTTGATTGATATTTGTTATTCATTGAGCAATAATGAATCTGTTAAATTTTTCAGCTCAAGTTTTGAAAAAACTTTTGCCAAATAACATGATGCAAATGCAGCCTCGCCCTATTCAACAACAAGCAGGAAATCGAGCTCCGTGGCCTCTGAGAGCTCCCAACTTTAGACTCCAGAATTGGATTTCTCCAGTGCTACCTAATACTATACGTGGTCCAACTCAGAATCCTCCAAACTTACAGACATCTTTCACATGGAACCAGGTTTGTCCTTTCATTGTCTGTCAGGAAGTTTTTTTCTCACTCTTTTTTTTGTACTACAAAAAAAAAGGACGTTAAATGAGTCTAGTTTTAGACAGTTATAATGATGTGGTAGTTTCTTGTAGTTTGTAATGCACATCGCCCATCATATTGAAATGTAAGAACTTCATCATAGCAATAAAATACGAAGCTGATGTAATTCTGTGATATTAACCCTATCGACATGGGTCAAAGGCCATGTCATCACGTTTGTTGACTTGCATTCAAAATTTTATTGAACTACTATTTTATGAATTTATGTAAGTAAGTTTGATATCAAATTTTAGTATTATACATCAGTTAATTTCTTAATTTTAAAGTAGATATTTAAAATAAACCCACCTAAATATTGATTTTTGTGTGTCACGGTTATGTCGAATGCAGCATTGGTTCAAATTAGATGTCTGTGATGTCTATAGTCATGCCTGTTATTTCTTATGAAATAGAAACTCAAAATACCAATGTTGACAAGCTAGAATATAAAATAAGAACCTCTTATCTTTTTTATTTGCTGAGATATCAACAAATTTACTAAATCAAACACAGTGGCCATGCCCACCTCTTTCTATATTTGGAAACGCTTACATTCACCTACTTCTATCTATGACATGTGAATAACCAATTGACAGCTCAGAATGTCTCCCTAGTGGCTTTCTCAGCCTCTTTGAAGTAGTTGAGTAACAAACTCCTTCTTTTCATGCTAGGTTCCAAGTGGTATGGTAAGACTTTAGTTAGCTCGAAACTTAATGTTTTTTTAGATCCAAATACAACTTAGTTACTAAGCTTGATAAATTATAGTGGAATTCTATGGTATTGATACAGTAATTTATTATTTTTGATTGTTTCAAAATGTGTTTATAAAACATAAAAAAAAACTATTTCATTTTACATCCTCCACGTGCAAAATTTGATAAGGCTTAGCATCTTACAGCAAGGAGCAACCGAGTACAAAGTTCGTAACTAGAAGAGATAATTGTTTGCTTTACTTCTTTATTTGCTGTTCTATGTTTTAAGATAAACAAGTTTAAAAATTTGTTTTTAAATAGTAATAATCTATATACATATATAATATATTATTACTGAAATGTGAAAGTGTTTTACAAAATACTAGTCCACTAAAACACAGCCAAGACAGGTCACTTTCTAAAGGCCAGTTTTATATTCTTGGATACGGTAACATGAGTGCACTTGCACCTTGTATTTGCAACTTCTGTATTGTTAGTCAGGCACGGCTGGAAGGTCAATATAATAAATG